TAATATCAAAATTCTTCAAATTTTTCACAGAATTCACATATTTCAACATAAAAGCTTTTCCGGCTACGTGCCCGGACTGCGCACGCAAATCGAGGCAAGTAAAAATGAGGTTTTCAAGGCCCCGGAAGCACAGAATGAATGAGGAAACAGGTGATGACCCTTTGGGTCGTCACACCTAATACGCTTATACTTAGTGCATAGTACAGCGTAACTGTATATATTACATATATATAAGCCATATTCGATACAATATTACCTAATACGCTTATACTTAGTGCATAGTACATCGTAACTATATATATTACATATATATAAGCCATATTCGATATAATATTACCTAATACGCTTATACTTAGTGCATAGTACAGCGTAACTATATATATTATACACATATATATATATATAAGCTATATTGATATAATATTACCTAATACGCTTATAAATATTACCTAATACGCTTATACTTAGTGCATAGTACAGCGTAACTATATATATTACATATATATAAGCCATATTCGATATAATATTACCTAATACGCTTATACTTAGTGCATAGTACAGCGTAACTATATATATTACATATATATAAGCCATATTCGATATAATATTACCTAATACGCTTATGCTTAGCGCATAGTACAGCGTAACTATATATATTACATATATATAAGCCATATTCGATATAATATTACCTAATACGCTTATACTTAGTGCATAGTACAGCGTAACTATATATATTACATATATATAAGCCATATTCGATATAATATTACCTAATACGCTTATACTTAGTGCATAGTACAGCGTAACTATATATATTACATATATATAAGCCATATTCGATATAATATTACCTAATACGCTTATACTTAGTGCATAGTACAACGTAAGTATATATATTACATACATATATAAGCTATATTGATATAATATTAGCTAATGCACTGATACTTAGTGCATAGCATGTTAGAGTATATTTTAGTCTATTCATCCCTTGTCTTATAAAAGTGTTAACGGCTTATATTTATATTATTTAGATAGTAAATATAAAAGTGTTTTTAGTTTTGACCATTGTTGACCTGAAAAGAGACCAACTTTGGTCACTAATTATACTTAAATTTAAATTAGTGACCAAAGCTGGTCGCTAAATTTAAATCACATTTATTTATATTTTATATAATATTTAAAATAATAATATAATTGTTAAACGGGTCCCATATTAGCGACCAAAGTTGGTCTCTATTTCATAAGCGACCAACTTTGGTCGCTAACTTTGAATTATATTTATTTATATTTTATAATTTTTTTTAAATAATAATATAATTATTAAAATTTTATAACAGGGTCCCATATTAGCGACCAAAGTTGGTCTCTATCTACTTACTCTTTAATTAGCGACCACCTTTGGTCGCACATTTTAAATTATATTTATTTATATTTTATAATTTTTAAATAATATTATAATTATTAATATTTAATAAGTGGGTCCCCCAGTAGCGACCAACGTTGGTCGCTAATCTCAATATTTCTTCGACCAAGCAAGTCTGACCAGTCCGTTCAACATTTTGATGAAATTATTGACCAAATAGCGACCAATTTTGGTTGCTAATGTATTTAATATAATTATTTTATTATTTTCTCCAATTTAGAGACCAACGTTGGTCGCTTTTCTTGACAGACCAACTTTGGTCGCTAAAGTTTGGTGTTTTTTTCCGGAATTCTAGTAGGGAAACTCCACGACCAACATGGCGAAAAGGACGTACTTTTTACTGAACTCAGAGTGCTGGAAACTCCTTAAATTTCTTTGTTTCCAAATTTAACATCAAACACTCACATTTTCAACCTCCTCTCCGCCCTCCTAATTTTCCACCAGCACCAGCAACCTCCATTGATGAAAACTAAAATATTACCAACTAGGAGAATTGGAAAAGAGATACTGGATAAGAAGAAGCTACGTGAAATTGGAAATCAGTATCGTGCATGGTATCACGCGTGAGGTCTAGCGGACTCGAGTGTGCGCGTGGCACACTTACGACAATGAGAGGTGTCTATTCAGTCACAAGAAAATGTGTTGGCAACTATTAGCTTATATTTATATCTTTTGCCTTTTATCTTTAACATATAACTTTTCCTAGTCTCTAGGCATGTAACTTACATGTGTGTTATACCTATATTAACTATCTATAAGACAAAATTTCTCAAAATAATAAATTAGAAAAAAAAAACCTGTTTCGGCTTATACGGAAAACGTAGCTCATACACCAAGCCTGGGTGATTGGCTTAATTGAAAAAAAAGAAGCTCATAAACCATAAAATTCAATAAAACTCTACTTCTGATTTACTTGCATCGTTTGAAGGTAAGGCCCAAATGGTCTTGTATATATTGGAGTGCAAGCACACAATTAGACATGATTCTGAATTAGTCAGGTCGATGTGGATTCTCAATATTAGATGGTTAAAATCAAATTAATTAAAAAATATCTAGAATAGATTTTACCTTTGACTTGTGAAGTATTTCTAAAATTTGATTTGCCAAGAAAAATAATTTTTTAACATCGAGTACAAGTGTGATGAACGTGCCTAGTGACTAGTTTTTAGATAAAGTTGTATGTACCCCGACTAAAGTACCAAACGAGATTCCAAAATAATTACTTATTTAGAATATAATTTTTCCTAATGTTTTTCGCGAAAATTTGCTTCCTATGAAAGAGAGAACAGTTTATGTGATGCCAAATAAAGTATAACATTTTCCAATGCACCAACTGATGAGCCAGTTTGGTCAGGAAACATGTGAAATCATATGTAAACAATAAAACACTAAAACCACGTAGATATAGCAAACAAAAGGTTTGTGAATCTTGGAAACAATATGATAATTGAAATAAAGAGCGCGACACAAAAGGTACAACTCTAAGCATGGATTGCTTAATAACAAAATATGGTAAATAACTCGTTTTATCATGTAGAATTTAAGTTGTACACACCGTCATTTCTCTTAGTGTCAGTATATATTATTTAAACTCTTCATAAAATTTCAAGAATCCAAAACACCAGAACCCAACAAACACCCAAAAAGCCTGGCAAGAGCAAAGACATAATATATCCACATCCACTTCCTCCACAACGTATTGTATGTGTAAAAAGCTCCGTGCATAACGTATTTTGTGTTCATGCAGGATACGGGGAGGCCCACACCATACGGGATATGATGTAGATAATCTACCCTAATGCAAGCACTAATGGCTGCTTCCACGGCTCGAACCCGTGATCTATAGGTCACACATAAACAACTTTACTGTCGCTCTTGCTGCTCGTACTGGAGGAAAATATGCACAATACGTGACAAATTTGCAGCTTGATATATCCAGGAGGATGGCTATCAGTGAATGGACAATACACAATAGGCAGCGGCTATAAACGGAGAAACAAGGAAGTAAAGAGGATTGGGCTACAATGAGATGGATTTGGAGTAAATACAACCTTCATTTGTTGGTTAGCTATGCACAAAAGGTTGTTAACTGGAGGATTGGGAATCTGTGAAGAAACCTCATGTGCCATATGTGGGGAAGCCACTGACCACTTATATTTTGAATGCCCATTCTCAAAAGCATGTACACAGGAAGTACTGCAATGGATAAACATGGTGCAGCACTGGGGATTGAATGGACTCTAGACATATGACTAGAAGAACACGAGGCAAAGTATGTAGGCGGTTAACAATTTCGATACTGACAACACTAGTATACAACATCTGGAGAGTAAGGAATGGTGCCCATTGGAATCAAAGAGTCCCCAGACCTCACATAATTGTCAATACTATCAAGGAGGAGTGCAAATGGAAGATATAATATACATGACATACTTGGTAGAAGATCATTAAGAAAGAATCAAAGGGCATGGGTAGAAAAATTATTGTAAATAGGAGTAATTGTATAGTAGACATGATTTAGTCAGAGTAGATCAGATATGCTACTAGGAGGGGGGAGAGTAACAAAGAATAGGAGGGATTCAATTGTACAGTTTTGTGCTGGTGATCAACAAAATTCTTGTTTTCACCAAAAAAAAAAAAAACCCTTTACTGTTGCTCCAGGCTCCCCGTTCTTAAGACAAATTCTAGTAGTTTTTCCTCAATGATCATGTACAAAATTTGGAATGCCAAACTCAAGTTGTAACTTTTTGTACATCAATGATCAATGGAAACTACCCATTAATATAAACAAAACAAAAACAAAAAAGGCTCCCCCTTCTAATGTTGTATGTCTCATAAGTAAATATAATAAGAATTAACCAGTGTAAATATCCAATAACAAACTAATTTTTAGAACACAATTTTCGTAATGTTTTTCACGAAAATTTGCTTCCCATGAAAAAAAAAACATTTTATGTGTCATGCCAAATAAAGTAAAATTTTCCGAAGCACCTACCGAAAAAATTTTGGCTTCATTTTCTAAAACGAAAAAATTAAAAATATTGTTTGTTTATGAAATATGATCATGTATTGAGAAAAAAAAAACTTTCCTTCAAATAAAATGCATGTCCAAATTGAACTTCAACTTTCAATAATTATTTTTCAACACAACTTCAAAAATTCTTTTTTCAAGTTTCAATCAAATCTATATCCAAACGCTAGCTAAGAGTTTGTGAATCTTGGAAACTATATGCATAATTTAAAGAAAGAGCAATCACACAAAAAGGTAAAAGGAGCTAAGCAACGAGTTCATAAAATTTCAAATATCCAAAATACAGAACCAAAGAAACACCAACGAGTCTTCAACTGGCAAAAACAAAGAAATAATATCCAGTACCAGCATAGAGTCTAGACCAGGTTTTATCAATGTAAAACTCATTGAAATTACCGAAAATAATAAACTATGAGCCCAGAACTCAAACAAGCTGGTGATGGCTTCAATAGTTGAAACCTCAGTCCTGAACTCATAGAATTAATTAAAACCCTGAATCCGCTTCTTGACGAGAGAAAGTTCACAACTTACAAGACTGCATCAAGGTAATAATAAGATTTGCACTGTTGATGATGCTCGATAGGACTGCAACAATAGTGCAAAAAACCTCCATTTATCAGCCTCATCAATTCCATTTGAGGGTCGAATGATCATTTGAGAAAGTGATGGGCACTTCCACAGCATGAGATTTAAGAAAATGAATTCAGATTGTGTGCCTTCAAAATCTTTTAGTTCAACATATTGAAGCATCTCTAGTGGTTGGTTAACACAGGATGGATCATTGAGATACATAAGAACGTCCTCTATGTCTTGCCCATTTCTGTTCGGTAAAGCCTATAAAATTGCACCCAAAAAAAAAAAAAAAATTGTCAACTATCAAGATTTATTAATGGGTTATCTCTACCATATCTAAAATTTTATACGAAAAAAGGCGGCTAGGTGCACTAAGGTCCTGCTATGCATGGGTCCGGGAAAGTGCCAGACCAAAAGGTTTATTGTACGCAGCCTTATCTTGCATTTCTGCAAGAGGCTGTTTCCACGGGTCGAACCGGTGATCCTACTGGTCACATGGCAGCAACTTTACCAGTTACGGCAAGGCTCCCCTTCATGGAGATGGTTAAACTATATTATTGGAGACGTAATTAAATAAATAAAAATATACTCTCTCTATCAGTGAGATAGTGTCCTGAGTTCGAGTTTCACTATCAGCCACAATGGGGGAGCCATGAATTTGAGTGAGGGGATTCAAAAAATATGAAAAATGACACAATTACTAACTTATGAACCTACATAGATGGGATTCAACAGTTTATACATATATTCAAAAGTAATAATTCGTCAGTTAAACCAACGATTCTCTTCTCAAAGTCAAAGCAATGAAAGAATCACCCCTTCCTGTTTTTTGTACTGTTAGATAGAAAGAAATTAGACCCCAAAGATTCCTTCTTTACCACTTTTCAGATAGAGAGGTGAGGGGGTGGTTTACATACAACTGAGGCAAAGTGGTTGTTTCCTTGCAGCGAGTGGATGAGAGTGCCCTTACATATAGTTCCAGGCCAGTTCATGTTTAAGTTGGAGTTTCCTATGGAAAAGGAAAAATTGCCTATGCTTAAAGAGTTTTCATAAGCAGTTTTATTCTATATGCGTAGTCTAATTTTCTTGTGGAGATTCAATTGAAACCCTTCACTAAAGGTAGATACGCCTCTAGCCACCCATTATTAAAAATAAAAAAATTACGTGCTTAGCCCATGAAAAAACCAGGCCGCATGTCACGGAGATGTTAAAAATATAATTAGAAAAATAAAAATGATATATTTAGCTCTAACATAAACTTTTTATGAAACGATCACACACTTTAACTATACGAGAATACACGAATAAATAGAAGCGTTACCTGAATCTGTAGTACACGCAATTTGGGAGAACTTCGAATCAAGGAAAGAGCACCAGAGACTAGGTCTATATCAAAAAGCTGTAGTCCCAACCGCACATGCTCCAACTGGCTAGGCTCAGGGTTAAACATTTTTGGAATAATTTCTAAGCCCAAAAGCTATCACAAGAGGAAAATAAATAAATGATTAGTGTATATTTTCACGTAGTAATAAACTAAGACATGATGAAGGCAAACAATTAAACATTCCTTAATCAGATACTTACCCTAACGCAACAATTACTGAAGCAAATTCCTGTCAAGTTAGGGCACAAAGCAAGAAGTTTTGACCAAGTAATAAACCTCCCATCTGCATAATCTTCTTCTAAATTATAAGGTATAAATATATGCAACACCTTAACATTTGGGAAATTTTCAAAAAAGCTAACTTGAAGTTCATGACTATCATTAATAGTCAAATTCTCAACCTTTGGAGCAAAAAAGAGGAGGAAATGAATCCTATTGCAAGAAGTGAATGTCAATGTTTTAAGTAATGGGGCATCAATGTCATGAGTGGCTAAAAAATTAATGAACTTCAAGTGCAATTCAAGAAGATTTGAAAAGACTTTGTTGGGATTTGGTGGCTTAAACATGCAATTGGAGATGGACAAAAATGTAAAAGTTGATGAGCAATCAAATATGCATAAGGGCAAGGTATAAGGATCTTGGTTTGAATTATCAAGGGTTAGTTCCTTGACACCTTTTTTGGTTACATATAATAACCAATGATCAAGGTCCCATTCATCTATATCAATGGTTGACACATCGAGGACAAACTTGTCAATAGTTCCAACATGTTGCAAAAGTATCTTGTCAATTATGTTATTGAACTCATATTCGGCAAGTCCTGCATTGTTATTAATGTCCTCAAAAAAATTCCCATCTAATTTTATTGTTGGGTGCGTTGTCCAAAAAAATCTCCATTTTTTGGACAAGACGCTTGTTCGTGCCAGTTCGTTAAACGGCACGTCCTTCAATATTATATCAACAACATTAGCTGGTAAATCAGAGATCCTATCTATCTCATCGTCGTCAATAAGGATGACCTCTTTACCACGATCATCCACGCTCTTCCTTCTGCACAAAAACAAAACTTTACTACACATCAAGGGAATCACTTCTAGACACATATATCTTTAAAATAAAAGAATTTTAAAATTTTACCTTTTTTTTTTCCTATTAGTATGCAAAAGCACCATAATATGATGTTGGATATATACTATTTAATTTCAGAGGAGTTCGTTTATTTCACATATATAATTTAAGCATCAATGGCCTGTCAAAATATTTCGCCACCCTTGGTGACGGACTTTATTCAACCAAAGAAAGGGACAAGATTATAGATTAATGACTCAACATTTATCATGTCCACATTCATTACGACTGAATTTTTTAAAAATTAGAAAAGGAATTTCAAATAATTTCAATAATATACAGCATTTTTTTTTACATGCATGGCGTGCGACCTACCTATTATCCATTTCCAAAACAAGAGATGTTGAGTTAGTTTGTAATATATATATATATATATATATATATATATATATATACCGCAATAAACTAGGGCTTTTCAGTATCTCTTTGCATACGAGAAAGTCCTGAAAAAGGTTTTGTAGAGATGTTTGAATGTTGGAGGTGTGCTTTGTAGCTTACATTAGCACGATTAAGGATATGTATGATGGAGCTAGACCCGGATAAGGACACTTGGAGGAGATTGAAAACACTTCCCGGTTGTAATGGGATTGTACCGGGGATTAGTCCTTAGCCCGTTTTTATTTTCCTTGGCGATGGATGCATTGACGAGACACATTCAAGGGGAAATGTCATGGTATATCTTATTTACAGATGGCATAGTTCTGACTGACGAGATGCAATGTGATATTAACGAGAGGCTGGAGGTTTGGAGATAGATTCTAGAGCCTAAAGATTTCAAGTTGAGCAGGATCAAAACAGAATATTTAGAGTGCAAGTTTAGCAACGTCACCCAGGTAGTTGGCATGGATGTGAGCGATGATACACAAGTCATCCCCGAGAGAAAAAGTTTCAAATACCTTGGGTCAGTAAAAATGGGGGGGGGGGGGGGGTCATGTGGATGTTACACATCGTTCGGAGCAGGGTGGATGAAATGGAGGATTGCATCCGGGTGTCATATATGATAAGAATGTGCTTATGCCACTAACACTCTGTTTGGATTGTTGTTCCTTATCGTTTTATAATGTATTGTATTGTATCGTTTTATGAAAATAATATTTGGATAGATTGTATTGTTTGTTATTGTTAAATAATATTTTGCTATTTGGTTTGACTGTATCGTACTGTACTGTAACTGATAAGTTTACTAAAATACCCTCAATGGTTTAAATATTAAATTTATCAAAAGTTATGCATAAAATAATTTTATAAAACAAAACAGAAGAAGGCAAAATACCTTAAGAAAGCAGAAGAAAGGAGCGAGACAGAAGAAGGCAAAACAAAGGAACACAACTAATTAGAATTGTGTTAAAAGCAAATTAGGAGAAAAAATCAAAAAGAAGGCGGCAAAATTATCTTTAACGTTGGCGGCATAAGTTTTGGAAAGAAATAAATTAGGTTATAGGTTGGAGATTTGGAGTTAAAATAGAAAAAAAGTTAAAGGGTAAAATAGAATTATGGAGTAATAAGTTAAGGCATAATTGGAAAGAAAAATAGAAAAAATCCCACCACACCAAATTGGTTGTTTCAAAAATGGGACTTTTCATTATTCCGGAACAATGGATTTAACAATACAATACAACCAATTTTAATGAAACAATCAAAACAAACGTTGTTTTGGGATAACAATACAATACAATACAACGGGGAACAACCATCCAAACAAGCTGTAAAGCTCAAAGGTAAGTTTTACAAAGTGGTGGTCCGACCGACTGTTTCTATGGGGCAGAGCATTGGCCAGTCAAGAACTCATGTCCAGAAGATGAAAGTAGCTGAAATGAGGATGTTGAGATGGATGTACGAACATACCAAGTTAGATAAGAATATAAATGAATATATTCGGGAAAAGGCGGGGATGGCCCCCGTGGAAGCTAAGATGCAAGAGATGAGGCTGAGATGGTTCGGACATGTGAAGAGGAGAATCACAAATGCCACAGTTAGGATGTGTGAGAGGTTGGCCTTGATGGGTACGAGGACGTCAAGGAGAGGCACATAGGTAGGTCAAAGAAGTATTAGAGGGAGGTGATTAAGTAGGACATGGCACAACTACTTAAGCTTACCGAGGACATGACACTTGAAAGGAAGGTATGGAGGTTGAGAATTAAAGTAGAAGGTACGCAGGTAGTCGAACATTTTACTTTTTTTTTTTTTTTTTTCCGTACTAGTAGTTTTAGTATTAGTATGGTATCTTTTTATTCTTAGAATACTATCACTACCTATTGTTTGATTGTTATCTTGCCCTTTGGTTTTCTTAATATCTTGTTATTTCTATTGTTTGTTGCCGCTGCTGCTTTTTTTTTTTTTTTTTGCCAAGGGTATAAGGGAAATAACATCTCAACTTTCTTAATGTAGGGGTAAGATATGTGTATACCCTATCCTTTACGGACTCTACTTATAAAAATTCACTGTATCTATTGTTGTTGTTATTATTTTTGGTATCTCTTTAAGGACAGTGATATCACGCCAAAGCATTGCCCCTAACTTATTTGATTTAGTTCATAAACGTTCTTCATTAAATTCGGGTTAATTATTAAGTTCGGGTTTCACAAAATGGGTGGTTTGGATCTACACAATGGGTTGGATACTTTAATTCCATTATGTTACACTTTGACTAATCACACACTGCCACATCATCAACGAAAGGCCGCAAGTATTTGGGACATTTTCTTAGCCAAAAAATAAAAATAAAAATTAGGGGCAATGTTGGACAGATAGGTTAGCGAAGGGCATTTAAGAACCAAATCAAATAGGTTAGGGATATTTTTAGCCCTTTTTAATTTCTTCCTTGATACTATTTTCCTTTTTTTTTTTTCTAGCAGCAGATATTCTGCTTAGAATTGGTGCACCTCTAGTGTTGAGGAAAAAGAAATGGACCGTGAATTTAGTTATTCAATTAAATTTTTTACGGTATTATCACTTTTAGCTTGTGCCTAAAATTATTTATACCCGGTAGCCGAAAATATGTATAAAACTTATATATAACATACAAAATATATATA